GGCCTAGGAAGGCACCCTCCCCCAACAGAATTCAAAGACCTGACAATGTCCCTGTATTGTGGAATTGCTTGCAGGAGAAAATCTTTTTGGTACTTTAGGCTGCTGTCAACTTATGTCACTAAGACCCGGTATTTATTTGAACTGAAGGAAGATGATGATGCATGTAAAAAAGCCCAGCAGACAAGAGCATTTTATCTCTTTCATAGCCTGGCTCCTTTGCTTCAGAAATCGGGACACCAATACCAGGCCTCCAGGCATAGCCTACTAGAGTTGGAAAGGCTCCTGGCAAGGTTTGGACAGGACACACAAAGAATAGAAGACTCTGTGCTGACTGGATGCTCTGAACAGCATGAAGCGTGGTTTGCTCTGGATCTAGGTCTAAAAAGCTCCTCTTCCATAAATGCTTCCTTACAGAAACCAGAAATGGAGACAGAGCTCAAGGGCTCTTTCCTGAGCTGAGGAAGGCTCTTTCAGCTGAATACAAAGGATGCCTCCTTGCTGACCACGGCTCAGGCTCTTCTCTGTTGGCATGATGCTCATCAGTTCTGTAGCAGAAGCGGGCAGCCCACCAAGAAGAATATGGCTGGCAGCAAGCGTGTGTGCCCTTCCAATAAGATTATCTATTATCCACAGATGGCTCCTGGGGTGATCACTCTGGTGTCAGATGGGACTCGATGTCTGCTTGCCCGCCAGAGTTCCTTAAGGGAATGTATTCTGCCTTGGCAGGTTTTTGTGATATAGGTGAAAGTCTGGAAGAGGCTGTCCGGAGAGAAGTTGCAGAAGAGGTGGGATTGGAGGTGGAAAGACTGCAGTACTCTGCATCCCAGCACTGGCCCTTTCCTACTAGCTCACTCATGATTGCTTGTCATGCAACTGTGCAAGCAGGGCAGACAGAGATCCAGGTGAACTTGAAAGAACTAGAGGCAGCTGGCTGGTTCAGTCATGATGAGGTAGCCACAGCCCTGAGGAAAAACAATCCATATACTCGGCAACAGTATGGGACATTCTGGTTGCCCCCTAAGTTAGCCATTGCCCACCAACTGATTAAGGAGTGGGTGGAAAAGCCGTCCTGCTCTACCCTGCCCGTTTAGCTCAGATTGAGCCACCTAGATCAGTATCCTGGAGGGGCATAAATGAGATCAGTTGATAAAGGGGAGGTGACCAAAGGCCATCTCCAACTTTATACTAAGGCAGAGCGAGGATGAATATAGCAGTGTAAGGAAGTTCTTGTTCACAGGCAATCAAAGTGCCAAACTGATAATGACACTTGTCGAAATCAGAGGGAAGTTTGAAGCATTAGTTTAGATATAGGCCCCCATGCACCCATTTTCACTGTCTTGGAAGCAAACATCTTTTGGCATGTATCTCGTTAATGCTGGGTTTACACTAACTGCCAAAATGTGCCTGGTATAATTTTAATTTTATCTTAGTATTGAAGATACATAGCAAATCTCAACCCACTACTGAGTTACCTTTCATCCTCATAGGACTAAGAAAAAAGGCACAATATAACATTAAAACTTTCATGTACAGGTATTTTGTACATGGTATTTAAGTAAAAGCCTTATTTCTTTAAGGCATCTGAAGGGATGAAGAAAGTGGGAGCCAAGGCCTTCCTCAGAGTACTCTGTAATAAATCAGATGCAGTGATGTTCTGCTGGGGTAACTGCATCCCAGTGGGGCTTAAGAGAGCTATGTCTTTTGCTGTTACTTGCTCAGCTTGTGACCCAAGGAAAAGATGATCACTTTGCCATGTCTGATTTCCTAAATATAAAATGGTCACTGCCATTTGCATACTGTTAAGTGTTGTAACTTCAGCTAAGGGATTAATGAGAGCGAACCATTTCTTGTTTTATGGGATAAACTAAATTTAGGATTGCTCATCATTCACGTATGTCATTCTATACCTTGTCATAAGGGAGAATTTATCTGGAGGAAATAAAATAAATTTACACACACACACACACACACACACAAAAGAGTGGAGATTGAAGTCTCCAACTATTTTTTTGAATTTCTCCCTTCAGTTCTGTCAAGTTTTGCTTCATGTATTTTGGGGCTCTGTTGGTAGGTACGTGTGTATGTAACTGCTGTGTCTTCCTGACTGATTGATGCTTTGATCATAATAAAATATCCTACTTTGTCTTAGATAATTTAATCTTAAAATCTATTTTGTCTGATACAGGATAGCCATTTTGGCTCTCTTTTGGATACTGTTTACATGGGATATCTTTTTCCGTCCTTTTACTTTCAACCTACCTTGTTCCACAGAAAAACACTTAAAACTAAATTCTTCTGCTATGTATATTTTTATTTCAGGTGTTACAATACAGTGAATGATGGCTTTTAAACCATTCACCACATTTAAATGAAAATCAACATAAAAAAAAATAAAAAATAAAAAGAGTTCTTCTTTCCCCCAGCTCTTAACTAGTTCTTGACTTAACTTATAAGGATTTATTCTAGAGGATCAAATTTGGAGTCTTACTTTCTAGAGGTTCACAAATCTCTTTAATGTCCAACCAGCAGGGAAAGGAAATTCCTAAGCAAGGAACACTGCTCAGGAAGTACTGTACCATGTCTCCAAATCCCTGAGAATCAAGTCGGAAAACTGGAAGCAACAGAAAGCACTATAAGGTAACTTATTTTCACTTTGTTGACAAGTCACTTCCTAAATCTAAATTAACAAAGTATGTAGGACACTTGTGTATAGCTAGTTGGTTATTTTACTCTCTAGCGAAGTACTGTTGAATAGAAATAACATGTGAACCACAAATGCAAGTCACACATGTAATTTTAAAGTTTCTAATAGTCATATTTTTAAAAGTAAAAATGGAAAAATTGTTAATGTAGTTAATAGTTATCACTTATTAATAAGTATAATTAACATATTTTATTTAACCCAATATGTTATCATTTCTGCACGCGATCAACATAAAATTGTTAATTATTCCTTTTTTTAAGATTTATTTATTTAGGGCACCTGGGTGGCTCAGCCGGTTAAGCATCTGTCTTCGGCTCAGGTCATGATCCCAGGGACCTGGGATCTCAGCAGAGAGTCTGCTTCTCCCTCTCTCTCTGTCCCTCCCCCTTCATGTGTGCTCTCTTTCTCTCTCTCAAATAAATAAGAGAGAGAGCAGGAGTGGGAGAGGCAGAGGGAGAGGGAGAGAGAGAATCTCAAGCTGACTCCCCTCTGAGCACGGAGCCGGACTCAGGGCTCCATCTTACAACCCTGAGATCATGACCTGAGCTGAAATCAAGAGTTGGACACTTAACCAACTGACCCAGCCAGGCACCCTGTTATTGTTAACAATAACAATAAAATTGTTATTCTTAATTTTCTACTAGGTCTCTGAAATTTAGTCTGCACCTTACTCTTAAAGCACACTTAATTTCAAACTAGCTACATTTCAAGTGATCAATAACCACAATGGCTAGCGGCTACCACTCTGGACAAAGAACTATAGCATTTAAAACTGAAAATGGCCTTAAAATGCTCTCTTTTGATTACATCAAACTTAAATAATTTTTTCTTAACCACAGTTTATTATACATTGCTATAACATGACTGCTTATATAATAGGAGTATAAAAACATAATAACCTAACAAGTAGATGTACAATCAGAATTAAATTTACGAATCTTGGAGGTTTCAATCTGAATCAGTAATGACAGCTAACATTTATTAAGCATTTACTCTGTGATAGGCACTATGCCAAGTATTTTAACACATGGTGGAAGGTACTTCTGTTATCTCCATTTCATAGAAGAGGGAACTGGGGCTGAGAAAGTTTAATTAACTTGGGCAAGATCACAGCATGCAAGTTGTAAAGTCAAAATTATTTGAATTCTCATTCTGGCTGGCTCTTGGAGCCTGTGATCCTAGCCTCCAAACTCTACACCTCCCTAAAATGTACCCAAAAACCTGCAGAATTCAGTAATTTTCACATATAAAACTATGAGAGAGAGAAACAGAGAAAGAGCAAAAGAAATTAATCGAATCCAAATATCCCCTGCTTGTCTTCAATTTAACAATTTGCTGACTATTGGGTGCAGTACCCTTTGGGAATATGAAGGTTTCACTTGCCCCTGGTTGGCATGCTCTGACTGTAACAGACAGCTTCAGACAGGGGTTTGAAAGTCTTGATAAAAAGCAGCTGAAGAAATGTAAACAGTTCAGCATTTTATTTTCAGCAAACAACTTTTCTCAACAGTTCTCATCTCTTTTGCTGGCTCTTACCTAAGCAACAAATAGCATCAATATTAGAAAGAGTTAGAAATCTTATTTATCAGTCCAATGCCTATTAACTATCCTTAATCCATCAATGTACTATTTTATTCTGCATAATTGGGAGGGAGACTAACAGAAAATATACAAATACACTTTCTACACACACAGTGTGATGCATACATCCATATCACATGTAGCTGTCTGAGGTCTATTCCTTATTTAATCCTAAAATCTGTCTAATTAATAATAGTTGATAATTATTGAGTACTATACAGACACCATGCCATGAGAATTTACAAATATTATCCTAACTAACTTTTACAATACCCCTATGAAGAAGTGTTATTCCCCTTTTACAAATGAAAAAACAAAGCCAACTTTTTTCATTGTACCAAGTTAACTATTAATACAAACACCTGTAAAGAATACCATCACCTCATATCTGTATACAGTTATAGATTATAATACTTTCATTTATATTATTTAAACTGACCCTCATAATAAGTTGTGATACAGAGAGCACATGTGCTTACAACTACCAGGACAAGTAGTTGAGGTTCTTTTGGAGTCCTGGGGCAACTTTTAAAAATTTACAGATTGCTCATTTGGGAGAATCTTATTTTATTTACACTCAGCATCCAATAAACCAGAAATGACAGACAAGACCAAATTCTACTCCAGCTGAGAGAAGCTTTCACAGAGTTTTTAAAAGCCTAACTTCTCCAACCACCCCCATTAACATGAAAACCCATAAAACCAAGAGCAGTACCTGAAGAAGATTCTGATGCTCTCTCGTTAAGGAGTCTTGCCTCCTGTATTATGATAAATAGGTCATGACCAGGCTGTGCAGTACCTTCTGACGAACAACAAAAATCCCAAATTACCAGAGCACCTTGGTGGCTCAGTCAATTAAGCACCAACTCTTGATTTTGGCTCAGGTCATGACCTCAGGGTTTGTGAGATCGAGCCCCAAGCCCCATGTGGGGCTCTGCACTCAGCGGGAAGTCTGCTTGAAGATTCTCTCCATCTGCCCCTCTCCCTACTCCCTCTCTCTCTAAAATAATCTTAAAAAAAAAACACTAAATTACCTAGATTTCATGTCCTAGTTGAGAGAAACTTCAAGTCTTCCATTTTCCCAACCTCACCCTTTTTCACAAGGGGTTGTAAATGCTCTGAGCAAATATGCCCCCAGAATTTAACAGAGGTAGGGTCAGGTCTAATAAGCTGAAGTGAAAGGTATCAGGAGCTGGCTGTTCACAGTTAACTGGGCCAAAGCAATGACAGCTAATCGGGAGTGAACAAAACTTAAGGTTTTCCACCCCTCCATTTCATTTCCAAATAATTTAATGTCAGAACTGTTGTGATTAATATCATATCTTAACAGCCATTATTATTCCATTTTATAGATGAGAAATCGAGGCTTAGAGACATTAAGTGCTCACTCAAGTGTACATAAGTAGTAGGAGACCAAATACCCAAATTCACTCAACTCAAGTTCAAGGTTCTTTACCTTCCAACATCTAATCTCCTTGGGAAATAAACCTATATTCCTATGGGCTGCCATTATACAATATCCGAGCTATTTTCTTATGGGGAGAGAATACTCATAAAACAAACAGGACTCTCTCCATGGGAAATGGGTTTCTAAGTGCCATAAATTCCCAAAAGGCTGAGCATTAGGAACTCTCCAAACTGGCAGGCCTGCTGTTGAAAATGCAGTTCCCACTTTGGAGGCTTCCTGGACACCAGAACTGGTCTCAGTTGTCAGGATGGCTGATAATCACCCCAAGTTTACAGAAATTTCTCCCATTTGGGGATCTCTTTATTCCTTACCCTTAAAAATCTCCTTCCCTTTTGACTGGAAACTTACAATATTAAAATAAGGGTAGGCTGACATTTCATATTCTAGCAGTTGATGTCACCATTAACTTGTTTTATTTATAACCTGAAATAATAAGTTTATGCTTTGCCTCACCAAAAACACAAGCTCCCTACCTTGACATATCTGTAGACTTACGTTGGAATTTCTATTATTTAATAATTATTAAACAAATATATGTAATCTACAGAGTCATTGCCAATAAAACACATACCACAGATTTTTAAAAAGTAACTGGAGATCAGGCCATACCTAAGCAAGCCTCTAGACAGGTCATCTTATTTCCCTGGTAACCTAGTCATAAAATGGTTTTGGTAAGTAATTCCTAAAATCTTAATAATTTTGAGTGAGGAAAAAGACTCCTCAGAATCCAGACATGACCACCGCTGACCTAAATAAATAAATATCAAGCAAAAAAAAAAAAAAGAACTACCCCAAATTAATCTACATAACAGTCTATCTTTAAAGAAATAATGTGTCATAAGAACAACAAATTGTCACATCTAAGAAACATCAATTCTACAAAGATAGGTCTGTAGACCTCTTGTCAAGAACGCATCACTGACACAGCTAAAACTTTCTAAGGGAGTTTTCTCCACCAATTCGTTAGAATCCTTTAAAAGATCTTGGCTGGCAATCACAATTGCATAGCGATCCCGGGGTCTCAGCCCAGAGATTCTGGACCCACTGGCCTGGATTCTAACATACAGCTAAAGCTTAAAATCATTCACTTAAAAGCAAATGTTTTAAGTAAATTTCCAGAGAGCAGAACTTCAGGATAGCCAATAGGAAATTAAATTCCCTACGGGCTGCCCGAAGTGTAGTACTCTCTCACCTAATGTGGAACCTCCTTCCTACCACTGTCCTTTAGAGGCAAAAATGAATTCTTTTCTTCACTATCACCCTTAGCTCAAAACACTGGACTCGGTAGGGGCTCAAGAGAAGTGCCCTTTGATTTAAACACTGATTTCTCCGATTTGGGCAGCTCCAGTAGTAAAGGAAGATTGGGTGTATTGTTCATGCTATTGAAATCAGGTCTCTGCGCCCCTCAGTACCGGTAGGAACCCATAAACATTTAGATCAGCTCTGCAAACCAGTGTTGCTTTAGGGAGGGGTTATCTCTCCCAACTCCTCCCGATCATTTAAAGAATGGGACCCCAAAACAAGGAATTCAAGGAATAGTCTCGGATCCTGGGTGGGGAGGGGCTGGAGACACAAGCGCTACGTGGACAACTCCCGAAGACCCTGGGCTGGGGAGGGGAGGGGAGGGGAGGCCTGGCGGGAGAGCCCAGGGCTGAGCAACACCTCTGCCGGACAAGCCGAAGGTGTGAGTCACTGGTGAGCACCGCGGGAGGAAGGGGCGGCTTGAGTCATAGTCCTGGGGGAGGTCGGAGGGTCTGACAGATGAAGAAGCCTGTGAACCCGGGAGTGGAATTTAAGTGGGAAGTGGGCTTCACAGGAGCTCCTCCCAGGGGAGTGGGGGTTTAGGGTTCCAGAGACCTAGGGGGCTGGCGCTGGGGGGCACTCCGCGGGCCGCGGGGAGGGGCTAGCAGGCGGCAGAGGAGGAGGCCGGACAGCCCGCGGCGCCGAAATCTCCCGCGCTCTGAAGCTAGCCCCACCTCCCCAGCCGGACCTCACACGCCCCTCGGCGCGGCGCGGCGCGGCGCGGCCCGCCAGCCAGCCCCTCCCGCCACCTTCCCGACGTCACCCCAGGCCCCAGCTGGCCGGCAAAGTCCCCGCCCCACCTCGCCCGCGACTAGCCGGGCTGCCCGCCGCGAGTCGCCAGTGACGGCACTGCAGGGTGCGTGGCCAATCGGCGCGGCCCCGGAGGCGGCGGCCTCGGCCCCGCCTCCCGCGCCCAGAGCCAATGAGAAGCTGGCACAGGGGGCCGCGGCGGGGTGAGGGGTCGCGAGGCCCCGCCCCATCCTCCCCTTTCCCCTTTGCCCCGCCCTTTCCCGCCCGGCCCCCCCCGCCCCTCCCCAGCCCCGCGCCGCCGCTGGTGCAGGTCCCCGCGCTGGGCCCGCCCCCACCCCTCCCGCCGGCCCGCCAGCGCGCCTCACGGCTCCTGTCTCCCCTCCCTCCTTCTCTCTCACACGCCTAGCGCAATGGCGGCGGCCGCGGCGGAGCAGCAACAGTTCTACCTGCTCCTGGGAAACCTGCTCAGCCCCGACAATGTGGTCCGGAAACAGGCAGAGGTAACCGAGCTCTCCACCCCCGACTCCGCGCCGGGGCCGGCGCGCAGCCCTTCCCCCGACGCCGCCCCGCCGGGCCTCGGCTGCTCAGCCGTGGCCGCGCAGGCCGGGCCGGGCGGCGGCCGCGCAGCCCACGTGTGAGGCGGCCCGCGGCTCCTGGCCGTGCCCCCGGGCCCTTCCGGCCCTTGTCCCCGCGGCGCCCGGCGCCAGTTACCACCCCGCCACCCCTCGCACACACGTGCGGCCACTCCTGACACGCTGCCCCCGCCCAGATGGGGAAGCCGGGCGGCGGGGAGGGATGTGGGGTGTGGGGCGGGCCCGGGGTTCCCCTCGCCCCTTTCCCGCTTTCTCCCGGTGGGATCCTCCCCCGCCCTTCCAACCTCGGTCTCCACCCAGCCCAGCCCTCCTGGTGCCCCAAACCCCGGCTGCTCCCTGACCCATCACCTCTGCTTCTCTCCTGTCCTCGTCTTTCCCTCCCTCCCCCATCCCCTCCTTTTGAAATGCGTGTCTTCTCTTGCTTTTCCACTTACTTCCATTTAGTCCTCTTTTTCTTGTCTAGTCCCCAGCATCGGAAGCTGGATTTCCCTCTCCCCTCCACCCGCTCACGGTTTTGTGAGTTGCCTTTAGGGTTTCTTTCCAAGCACCTTCCACCTTTATTCTTCCTTCGGACAAATTTTCTTTGATCTCTAGAGATTTGTGGTCTCATAACATAACTGCGATGTCCTGGGACTTCGTTGTTTAAGTGGGCCAGTGCCACCATATGTTTAAGTCTTTAATTTCATTAAATCTAACCTGAATCTCTCTCTCTTTTTTTTTTTAAGCCACCTCTGGCTTCTGGCCTCCAAATTGTGGAGCTGTGGATATATTTTCAAGAGACAGTATTTCAGATGTATCTGCAAGTTCTTTACCAAGTAGCATCAAGACACACGTAGTTCAGTATAAGACTAATGTTAATGCTGTCAGTGTCGAGACCACGATATATACGGGAGACGCTAAAAGGGAAGGGCAGAAACTTTCTAGATTTTTTAAGTGCATTATAAGAACCTGTCTTCAAACTTGATTATATGTAGAGTTCTCTGCCACCACGAGATTAAAGATTTTTATAAGATTCAGTGAAGGATGTTCAGCCAGATATTTTTACAGAGCAGAAATTTATTTTACATGTGGCTGATGAAATTGGGGGACAAGTCCTCTTGTCATGAATTTTATACATGTCTTTAGAACCACAATGTTGTTAATATTTACTTTGACTAGATTAAGATATGCTGGCTACGCTTAGTGGTTTTATAATATGTAAAGTAAATACAATGGAAGTTCAGTTCTGTATGAAAAAGCACTTTAAACAATTACTAACTTTAGTCTAATGATTTTTGATTCATGTATTATACATGTGATACGTGTTCAGGGTAAAAATTTAAACAGCGCAAATCGTTTTTTCCCCATTCCCCAAAGACAACTACTTTTAAGTGTCTTGTGAGTAGTCCCTGAAAATATCTTTACTAGTGCAAATGTATACATTCATTTTTACATGAATGGGCCTTTCATACGCATACTGTTGTGCAACTTGGATTTTTCACTCAACATATTTCACATTGCCGCATAAGAGATTTTGTTAAAGCAGCTATGTAGTATTCCATCATATGGATGTTTTATTTATTCAGTCAACCTTCCTATGAATGGACATTAGGTTTCCATTGTCCTCTTAAAAATGGGAATACATGCATACCTATCTTTTCAGACTTTGCCGGGTTTACTTGTGGAATACTTAAAAGTAGCATTTGTCCTTGGAAGTAATGTGCATTGATTAGTTGCATCAGTTTGCACTCCTGTCAGAGGGATGTGATGATGCCTATAAAAACACTTTAATGCATTTTGCTAACTCTGGAGGTAATTTTTCACCAAAATAAGTTCTTAATCCCAACCCATAATAGAAATTGCCATGTATTACAAAGCAGAACAGCATTGTAATTAGTAAGCGAGTTTAATTCTCCCTCTTCCCTCCAGTTGCTTAAGTCTCTATTGTCAAGCCTAGTGGGGAATCTCTTTTCTATTGAACTAAATACCAGTGTCTGGTTCAGCTTGAATTCCAATTGGTGCCTGTTGTAAATCTTTTATCACTTCCATCACTTTGGGGATAGTTAGGAGCATTCAGCACATTTTCTCATAAAGAACAATTGAAAAGTACAGTTGACCATTGAACAACTCAGAGGTCAGGGACACCAGCCCCCACACCCCCGACTCCCCGAAAACTTAACTAATAGCCTCCTGTTGACTGGAAGTCTTACCAATAACATAAACAGCCAATTAACACATATATTGTATGTTATGCATATTATATACTATATTTTTACAGCAAACTAAGCTAGAGAAAAAATGTTAAGAAAATCAAAAGCAGAGAAGAGACATTCCAGTACTGTACTGTATTCATAAAAAATCCATATATAAGTGGACCCGCACAGTTCAAACCCATGTTGCTCAAGGATCAACTTTGCTGTTAGTCTCTATTCCTATCATTCAGGTAGTACATTTTTACTTTCTTTGTATATATCGGAAACATATTAATATGTAAATTAGGTATTATAAAATAGAATATTCTTTTTTTTTTAAGATTTTATTTATGTATTTGACAGAGAGAGACACAGCGAGAGAGGGAACACAAGCGGGGGAGTGGGAGAGGGAGAAGCAGGCTTCCCGCTGAGCAGGGAGCCCGATGCGGGGCTCGATTCCAGGACCCTGGGAACATGACCTGAGCCAAAGGCAGACCTTAATGACTGAGCCACCCAGGTGCCCCAGAATATTCTTAATTTGACACCAAAAAAGGTAAATGTTAGAGGGGAAGTTTCCTGGTCTCATATAACACAAAGCTGGACTGTAAATAGAGCTGCTTAAGAAAGCAAAATATTATTTGAAAAATAAATAGCTGCATATAATGATATTTTAATACCCCTTTTTTTGCCTTATGAAATGAGCTGTTTATAAGTAATCAAACTAAATTAAATGGAGTATTACTGTCTGAAATAGCAAATAAATTTTTTTTAACTAAAGAATTGGCAAAAGGTCAGTAAATATCTTTGTAATTTACTCCGTCAAAATAAAAATACTTAATTGAGGGCGCCTGGCTCAGGCGTTAAGCATCTGCCTTCGGCTCAGGGCATGATCCCAGGGTCCTGGGATAGAGCCCCACATCCCGCTCCCTGCTCTGCGGGGAGCCTGCTTCTCCCTCTCCCGCTCCCCCTGCTTGTGTTCCCTCTCTCGCTGTGTCTCTCTCTGTCAGATAAATAAAAAAAAAAAATCTTAAAAAAAAAAATTTAAAAAATACTTAATTGACACAGATACCAAACTGTCGAGTAAGGTGACTTCTTTTATATTCACATGTGAAATCAAGTACAGTAGAAGACTTTTATTGTAATATATTGAAAACATTAAAGTTCTTCAAAACTTTTAAAAGTTTTTAAAACTTCCATTGTATAAACAATGTGGTGGGCTTTATATTTTATTTCTGTTAAATCTTCAAGGATTTTTTCTCTTTAACTTTACAAAAAATGTTTCTGATGCTTGAAGAAATGATTTCAATTCCCTAAGTCTCAAAATACAATAACATGAATAAACAATTGAGTAAGTAGTTGACAGGTAATACAAAGTTGAATGTCCATGGCATTCATGACTAGACATTTTTATGATATAAGCTTAAGTATTTTATTAATCATATGCATGGATTTTACATTCTTATTTTTTCCATTGACTTTGTTTTTCATTGATTCTAATACAGAACTTCATTAATGAGATTTTAATTGGAGGAAGGTAACATTGAAAAATGTACTTGATTTTTGAGGAACCAGGGTGTTTACTAGGTAAAACTTGTCCCCTCTTCATATGCAAGGTAGGCTCATGATAAATATTTATGAAATGAGTGAAGTAAGTACTTATTAGCATTTCTTCTTTGTGGGCAGGAAAGGGGGAGGTGAAATCTGCTTTACATTGTGTGATTGTGCATGGTGAAATCAAATGGAGTTGAAATTCTATTTGCCTTGACACTGGCAACATTCACTGAACCTGCCTGGCCTGGTGCTAGGAATATTCTTAGAAAGAGTCTTTATATTTTTATATAGTCTTTATATATGTGTTCTTTGTATTTGCTGCACTCCAATGTGCTGGGAATACGAGGAGAAAGAGATACCATCCCTGTTTTGGTGGAACTCAGTCTATTTAGGCTAATAACTTGATTTTAAGGCTGTTCTTTTTGCCAAACTATTATCCTTGACCAGTGTTACGGTGTAAATGTAATACAATATCTGGATTGCCACAGTGGAACATAACAAATGGGGAGAACCCTCTCTCAGGAATCAGATGTCACTCATAACTAAACTCTTTCTCCATTGACTTTTAATTCTTTATGGAATAGAGTTCAGTATTTGACTTAATGTTTGTAAGTGTCTACTAGAATTAGCATAGTAGAACTGTCAAACTTACAGTCCCAGCTGGGCAAGGTTTTCTGAGAGTGATATCCTAGTAAGGAATTTTTTTTCTGAAACTTGATTTAGACCACTGGAAATGAAAGTGTTAAACATTTATAGCATCTAAGATAGGTACAAAGAATAAAAAGGCATTTTTATGTCCTGTGAGAGACTGTTTAAATGAAAAGGCCATAACCCATCTTTCAGTCGCATTCATAAAGATTAAGTGAGAAACCTCAAGGTACA